AGAGTGTTCCAAAATAAATACATATTTTTGTGTCTGGTAAACCAATTTCAGAATGGAGAGTCATTCATATTATTAAAAAGATTATTGGCTGCGAGCTGTGTTTTAATCCAGTGACTGTGCTGTTTGGGTACATACGTGATGGAGGTATGACTTATGTTTGTAGAAACGTAATCAAGAATTTAATAGCAGTTGTTTGTCTTAATATCACAGTGGAAGAGACCAGTACCCCACCTTAGCATGAATGGGTCTGGTGTGTTTGGGAAGTTATTAACAGACTGTCACAAAAATAAGGACTTGGTAGGGGAGACAAAAAAAAACCAGTTTCATGGGGGACTGATGGCTTGTAATTGTCCTTGGGTTTTGTTTTTGTTTTTTTGTAGAAAAGCATCTAATTTGGGGAAACCCAACAAAATTAAGACAATATGTTATAACTAATGTGATAACATTTATGCTAGTTTATTAGCGATATGAACAAGCCACTAAATAGGCAGGACTACGGTTGCCAGTTGCAGCTATCCTCTAACTAGAAGGAACTGGGTGGGGGCAGGAGCACTAGTTTATGATGTCACTTCTTGTGAAAAGCTAGAAGTGACTTAATTATATCACGGAACAAGTATAAAGAAAACAGTCGTGAGAGTCTGAGCCACAATTCAAGCAGTCAACAAGACTTGCAAAGAAAATGCTTACAGTCTGAAGCACCACAACACAATAAATCAATTCCTACAAATCATAAGAAAATCCTAGTGCAAAGGTACATCATCAACGTCGTCTCCAGGTTATATAACAACGTTTCAAAATTGGATCTTCCAATATTTACAATACATTCAGGTAGGACACTTATCTCAGTAAATGTTTAGGCTCAAATATGCTGCTAAGCTTCTAATAGATCCTAGGCGTCTCACTCTGGTGATTCCTAACAGAGTGTATTGTAAGTTACAACTATACTTGAGTTTATTTTTAAAATACCACTGGATTGAGACTAACATTCCCAGGAGGCCACGGAATTGTGACTACCATCCCCAGGATACCATTTTGTGATTGAAGATCTTTTGTAACATATAGAGCCCTTTATGTTGTTGTAAATGTTGGTTTTATCTTGTTTTTACTGTTTTAATAACTGGCATATGTGCCCTATTTGTGATCCGCCCTGAGCCCGCCTGCAGGGAGGGCGGGATATAAATTTGAATAAATAAAAAATAAAATAAAATACTCTGTATTTTTTCATAACAAGAGGAACGTTATTTATTTATTTTATTTGTTTATATCTTCGATTTCTACCCCGCTCCAACCCCGAAGGGTCTCTGAGTGGTTTACAAGTTCCGGATTTACAAGTTCCGGATTTATCCCTAACTACGGCCACATGTCTACAGGGGTTGGGGCTGCCTACCGGCACCCAGGTGGCAGGGCTCGCTGTTTCTTGTTTGTTCTTCCCGGGCGGTCTTTCTGCAATTATATTGCAGCTCTTTCATGACTTGTTGTAAAACACTTTGTGAACAAGAGAACTTTTGTACTACTCTGACATTTTACTGAGGAAGATCCTGAGGAAGATATTAGAGGCCAGTCAGTCTGACGTCGATACCGGGTAAATTGGTGGAAACCATTATTAAGGAAAGAATTAGTAGGCACATAGATGAACAAAACCTATTGAGGCAGACTCAGCATGGGTTCTGTAAGGGAAGATCTTGTCTCACTAACCTGTTAGTGTTCTTTGAGACGGTGAACAAACATGTGGACAATGGGGATTCAATAGATATTGTTTACCTTGACTTCCAGAAAGCTTTTGATAAAGTTCCTCATCAAAG